CCCAGGAGTTGGAGGTTGCTGTGAGCTGTGATGCTACAGCACTCTGCCCAGGGCGACAGCTTGAGGCTCTGTCTCAAAAAAAAAAAAAAAAAAAACAAATAAAATAAAATAACTTTACTGTGTAATGGTGAAAAAACAAAAGGAAGAGGGTGGCTTGTGGTGATGAGGCAAGGGAAAAGTCACCTGGCCTGGACAAAATCAAACCTGTAACCACAGTGTGGAATTAGCCTGCTATAGAAAAAGGACTTGATTTAAGTCTCCCAGAAACCAAAGAACTCCCTTAACTGGATTTTCACCTATCTTTTAAGTCTGGTATTAACTGAAGCAAATTATAGGCTACCTAGGTTACATATCAAATAGATTTTAGAGAAGAACCAGAAGGGGAGGTATACAGCCTTTGAATCCTGAGAAATCTATATCACCTCTTATTATTTTTTTATTGCTTCATAACTAATAGTTATGAACACCACCATGTATAAAATAAAATCAGTTTCAGGATGACTTTAAGACCAAGGTTTGTAACACTGGCAGACCATAGGAGGTAGGATGAGGTCTGCAGAAGCTAACTGCTAATTTGGGGGTGTGCGCGCTGACAACTTTAGCAGAATTAACTAAACTCTGTAGCTTTTGTTTGCAGGAATAGTAGTGGCTAGCTAGCATACAGCGATTGCTTACCATGTGCCCTAGACTGGGTTAATATGCAGATGGAACTAGAGTTAAAACCAGCTGCTACTCATTAGCACGATGAGGTCACCACTGAAACCCTCAATTTTCTCACCTGTACAATAGGTATAATAATCTCAAATGATTGCCTAGGTTGATTGGCACAATTAAATGAGAACCTATGATGATAAGGCAGATTCATGATTGCGGAGTGTGGAAAGACTGTATTTTCTGAAAATGGCCACAGGAATGTGCTCCTTGAGTTGCCCATACCCTCATCAAAAGGCAAGGGGCCCTTTGTGATGGCCTCAATAAGGAGAATGTGGTGCAGTGGTGCTGTGTGACTGGTAATGAATGGCTCCCTCCCCTTTCTTGGGACATGCTTTGTAGAAGTCCTGAACCATCCTGAGGAAAGTCTAGTTACCGTACAGGTGTAATAGCAAAGAGATTATGTGTAGACAGAAAGAGAGTTAGGGGAAGAGCCCCTGCTATTTGAGTATTCTCAGCCCAGACACAAGACACATGAGTGAGGAAGCCTTCAGGTGATACAACCCTGGCCAATGTCTAACTGCAACTGGGTGAAAGACTCCAAGCAAAAAAACGCCTAGCTAAGCCTAAGAAGTGCCAGTGCCCTGTGTCCCAATGATCGTATAAAATCTTCTAATTCAGTATCAGCCCAGGTACCCTCCAGTGCGTGGCCCCATCCCCAAAGGAAGACAGCAAGAGGGCCAAGAGCTTGTCCAAGAGCATGGGGTGAGTGGGGGTGGCCAGTAGAGGAGGATTGAATCACACTGCAACACAAATGGAGTTTTCCTATTGAGAATCACTGCAGGGAGGATGGCAACGGGAGTGGGTGGGAAGAGCTGTGTGTGTGTGTGTGTGTGTGTGTGTGCGCGCGCGCGCACGCTCTTGGCTTCCAGTTTTCTGGCTCAAATGAATCTTTGGCTCACTAATAAAGGTGTTTGTGACCCTGGGAAAGTGACAAAAAACTACTCATGTGTCACCACTGTTGACCTGCTTCTGAGCAACTTCTCATGATTTAAGGCTGTTTTCCCATGAAATATTCAGATCTCCTTTCTTTTGAACCAGGGGTGTCCACGGGCTGCTTGCTAATTTTGAGAGAACTTTTTGTGCTTATCTGTGGTATTGGATGTCACCAAAGTATCATTAGTGTTTGTGTATTTAAAGTGTGACTTAAGACAACTCTTTTTTTTTTTTTTTTGAGACAGAGCCTCAAGCTGTCCCCCCTGGGTAGAGTGCTGTGGCATCTCAGCTCAC